CTTAACATCAAGGATGGAAACTTGTGGAATGACACTTGAACACTGTTCTCGAACCAAGAAGCTTACTGCAGGGCAAGTTGTGGTGGCAGCAAGCTTGGCAACATTGGCGAGGAACTTGTTCTGCAGATTGTACAACACACTGATGGCAGTTTGGAGATGACTGTCAGGAATCTGTAGGTCCAGCAGGCATTGTGTGATGGAACGTTCTTCATGCATTGGTAACATACTGGCAAATCTCCCGTCCACTGTCTTTCCACTGCCATGCAGTTGATTCCATGCCTCCTTGAACTCTTGGAAGGACTTCTTCAAACGTTCCTTTTCCTGCTTTGTCAGTTTACTGTCATAGATGAAATCGCACATCTTCATATCTTTTGCTTTCTCCTTAGCCAGCCTGTGACCCAGTCGTGACTTGACTATTGTTGTCCACTTCAGGAGAGGATGAAGGTGCTTTATGTAAGGAAGCTGTTCATGCATTGAAAAGAACAATCCCAAGAAGGGGTATGCATCTTGCAGATCTCTGCCACCATTCATGAAATGACAGTGCAACTTTTCAAATGTCTTCATCTCTGTTACTCTGAAGAGCCTCAAGGCATGGTCATGATGGTATTGACGACCAACTCCTCTTTCCAGCTCTTCTACTTTGATTTCCAGACACTTGGGGCCTTGCTCAATTTCCATATCTTCAGACAAAGAAGAAACCTGCTGCTCTCGAAGGGATGATGGAATCGTCTGGACTAGTTCATCTACAATAGCAGAGAATTCTTCTTCCCACTTCTCCCTTTCTTCATGAGTCTTACAAGTGTTTCCCCCAACTTTGTGGGATCCATTGAGCAGGCTGCAGCTATGCTGAATGACAGAATGCAGCAGACGGCAAACATCCTCACTTGTACCAGAAATAACAGCACCCAGTGCTTTCCAATCAACATCAACAAAGTTTGTGCAAATATCGATGGCATCTTGACCCTTGTCTTGATCCTTGAAGATGAATTCTCCCAGCTGTTCTGGCTTGCAGACCTCAGCATAGTGGCTAGCCAGTAGGCATCCATGAACTAACAGGTGCAAACAACGATATGCTGCAGGGGACATTTGGCGAACGGTGAACCATCTTTCTCCTCTATCTTCAGGGCTAGCAACAACATACCCTGTCTGCTGGGTTACAGTAACTTCCAGAGCTGACATTTTGGACATAGGAGTTACCAGGCTCGCTTCCATCAAGGTGATTTGTGGGAACAGATGGAGACTGGCAAACAGGACACACTGTTTGTTGTTCATGAGATGTTGGAGCAAGTCTTTGCTGGGCAACAAGACATCCACAGGAACAACACCATACAGTAGCGTTTTGATCCCACATCTGTTGGCTTGTGGCTGTATACACTTCAGGTGGGTCATCACCATTGTTATCAATAGCTAGTACGTAAGGTGCATTTAACTTCTCTGGATTGGTCAAATACTGCTGGAAGGGTGACTGTATCTTCATATTTTGTGCCAGGCTGGAGCTTAGGACACAGAGCAGGTGCATGATAACTGATTTCTTCAGGATGTCATCCAAGCTGGACTGCTCTGAGACACACAGCTTGGAGTCTTGCTCTCCTACAGTGCACAACAGGGTCTGTTGGAATGGCCGTGGAAAGTTAGAAATGATCTTTGCCATTGTCTGGGCGGCAGCTTTCTCAGTGTCACGGGCTGGCCGCACTGTGCGTACTAGGAAGTACAGGTCATAAAGTGTTGCCAAGAGTGAGAATTTGGTTTCTTCACATCCCTTTGCCTTTTGTATCAGTGCATTCATTGCTTCATCTTCTTTCTCCTTCAGGAGTGCTATAGCCTTCATTGCATCTTCATAGCCTGTGGCATACCTCAGTGGACCAAAGGAAAACCTTGACTCCAATTCATCCTTTTCCCATTCTAGTTCTTGCAAGGCAGGCAACATTGGGCCAAGGTCTTTGCTCAGGTCACGCAATCCCAGCAACCCATGGTCTGGTCGAAGCTGTTTCAGAAAGAACAAGACCATAGAAACCTTTCTCGATAGAGTTGGCTCCTCCTTTGGTGATGGAGTGAACAGTTGGGTGTTAACTTCCTGTAGCAGGTGTTCTGACATTTGCAGCTCCTCTCCTTCGTTTTGTGTATCCAACATTTCCTGTAAGGCTTTAGCCATTTCTGTTAGGAAAACTCTGATGAATGCAACAGAACAGATAAACTGCAAGTCACAAGTAGTGGATTCCCTTATGACCCTTGCAGCCTTGACCAGAGCTACGTGTAGGGGGTTGTCGGGCTCTCCAAGTTCCACTAAATGTTGGGCAATAGAGGAGAAAAATCTGTCCTGGATGATGTCACTGCAAAGTGTAGCAAGGTGTGAGTCAAACCCTGAAGTTATTTGCAATGAATGCAGGCAGTTGTTCAAGGACTGCAGGGGTGGATGTTCTTCCAATGCAAGGTCCTGGTCCTCAATAATATCTTGGAACAGACCTAGATGTCCATGATAGTTTGACTGTGTCTGATGGCTCTCCTGCTCAAAACAGAGAATACGATCCAGAACTGGACCAGCATATCTGATGGAACCCGTAGGTAGCTTGCTTAACTCATCCAGAATGCTGTCAATAAGAATGGTGTCTGGGTTTGCATCCAAGCACCGCCCAAAGAGCAGGCAGAGGAACTGTTGCATTCGTTCTGGAGACATCTTTCCACTACTCAGTAGCTTCCTTGCTGTCTCAACAACTAGGGAGAACACCAGTGGTGAGTTCATGCAGTTGTCTCCCTGACTTTTTGCTGTTTGTGCGAGGTTGTTCAAGACTGAGACTTCTCCTGATGCGAGGTTTAGTGCTGTGGCATAGTCATTACAAAGCCTTAGGAAATGGAACATTGGTGTGTCTCTGTTCACTTTTGCAGCAAGGGACAGCAGCGTAGTGACCTTTGCATGCCATGCCTTAAGACCACCACAAGAGTCAATGAGAGACTCCTCAGGTAGCATGGCTGTGCAGTACACCTCCACAAGACGCTCTGATATTGTTGGACTTTCTTCAAATCCATCATCTGGACATCCCTGACTTTCCTCTTCTTCATCATCATCATCAGACTCTTTCAGTGTTTTTT